AAAGATTGCTCTTTCTTTTATTGTTACCAGGTTCATTATGCGCTGCAATGCCACATATGAAATTTTGGACTATACTAAGGCCGAGGTAGCAATTATCGAACTCGGCGATAGCAAAGTTCAATCAGGAAATTTTAAAATTCTGCACCACATTAATATTACCGAGTATAAACTTACTATAGACCAGATACAACACGATTTGCTCAATAATATCTCCCTAGCAAACCCACTTTTTCCCTTCATTAAAAAAGAAATTGAATTAGTAAAGTTCCAAATTAACAAACTAACCTCCCACTCCATAAGAAAAAGGGCAATAAATGAGATCGGATCCGTATGGAAATGGATTGCTGGTAATCCAGACCATGAGGATTTCGAAATGATAACTAATAAATTAAATGATGTCATAAGCAATAATAACAAGCAAGTAATTATAAATAAAGACATCATACAAAGAATCAATAAATTAACAGAAGATAACAATGTTATAATAGAAAGCATAAGAAATTCAGAAAATTTCCAGAACATTTTTGCCACACAGCTAAAGTATAAGATAGATTTAATAAAAGAAGATTTAAGTAATATCAATCTTGCCATTCATTTATCAAAGGCAAATATAGTAAATACCTTTTTAATATCGGAAGAAGAAACCGAAATAATAAACAGCATTTTCACAGAAGAAAATATTCCGTTTAATAATATAGAAGAAGCTCTAAATTTTGCTGATATAAAAATCGCATTTAATGGCGAAAAGTTAATTTATATTATCGACATTCCAAAATTAAATAATGAAATATGTAAGCATTTACTAATCAAACCATTAAAAAAGATGGGAAAGGTATTAAAGATAAAAGACGAAAATGTCATTAAATGTAAAAATGCAGTCTTTTCAACTAACAACCAATGCAAAAAAATTAATAAAATCAGCATGTGCTTAAGATCAAATATTGTAGATATTTCAAATGACAACTGCATTTCAAAGTTAATAACAAATAGACCAAACAATTGTACCATCATTAACGATAATCACATAAAAGCAATAGAACTAATAGATACAGGTATTCTTCTTCTGAACAACTTTAGTGGTAAGATTTCAAGTAATAATGATTCCCAAACACTTAAGGGATCGTTCATAATTAAATTTAATAATTGTACATTAGATATAGAAAATCAGTTTTTTTCATCATACGAAACCTCTAGCTATAAGCCGCTACCAGCTATGATTCAACTGGAGAGGCCGCTGACAACGATGGAGGAGGTTCTATCCCTACAACTGATGAAGGACCTGAACATCAAAAATACAGAAAGGATAAGTGCTCTGCAAGCTAACCTCAAGGCAAACACATTCTCAAGTATTGGGATATCAGGCGGAGTTGTGTTTGTGTTCATCACCTACGTAGTAAAGCTAAAGATGAGCGGACCGAGCACAAAAGTAGTGGAGAAACAAAGCAATCCCTCAAGCGAAGTGCAGCGCCCAGAGAGGATCAGCACGGCAGAAACTCCCTCGGAAAGCCATACTAAAAAACCTAGAAGCATCCATGATCTCCCCGGATTTTAATTCATCGACCGGGACGTTCGAGATCAGGGAGGGAGGAGTTAACACTTTAGTTACTCAAAACGCCAACATTGAGTACCAAATTGTCGCACTGACCGACGCACGTGGCAAATCAACGTGCTGGGAAATGCTGACATAAAGTGTTGGGTGTCCAATTCGGTGCATACGGGGTCAACGCGCTGGCAAGCCAGCTACCGTGGGATCGCAACCTCAGCGATTCTCGGTGCAACGTCGACGCCGACGTCAACGTAGGAACGTTGGGACAAAGGTTTCGTTAGGGCTTAGCTTAAATATTAAGGCCAGTTTGTAATCAACTCGAAAAGAAGCACATAGTGCTGTAATAAATATTTTTTTATATCAAATAAACTTAAAATTGATTAATTTATATTTTACCTCTCTCGGTATTCGAACTCACGTAAAGGGTGTATAACTGCACATTTACAAAGCAATTGCGTCTATGTGGGTGTATGTATGTCTATGCGCGTCTATTCGTGTCTGTGTGAGCATGTTTGCAGTCAACCAAAGCACCAGCATCAAGAACAGCTGCGGGCAGGAAATATATTTATGGCTATAACTTCCTGCCATACCGGTCTATCATGATGAAACTTGGCAAATGGACACATAAGCACCAAGGGGGGGTATTTGCAAAATATCGAAATCGAAATTCCAAGAATTACGGGAGTTACGATTTGCACAGAGAGGGGGGACGTTGTAAATCAAAAAAATAAAACAAACTCGTATAGCGTACACACGTAAGGCATCTTTGTGCAAAATTTGGTGTCTCTAGCTTTTATAGTCTCTGAGATCCAGGTGTACATACGGACGGACAGACAGACATAGATCGACTCGTTTAGTCATGCTGATCAAGTATATATATATATACTTTATTGGGTCTGCCACGCCTCCTTCTAGCTCCCGCAAACCTAATATACTCCTGTACATTTCATGTACAGAGTATAAAAAGCGCCGGGTCACGGTTACTTCCCCTAAAATGATCATTGAATTGCCGAGCTGTGCAGTATATTTTCTCACCATCATGTTCAATAGCGTGATGAAATGGGGCTATTATTCTCAACAATGGAGAAAATCTGTCATCACAATGATTAATAAAGTCGGTAAGGACAAGTTTCAGCCATCATCATATAGATTATTGCCCCGCTGTTTTTCTGGATGTCGCCCAAGCCTTCGACCGCGTTTGGCTGGATGGCTTAATTCACAAAATCAAAATATTACTTCCACAGAGCATCGATAAAATACTGGAGTCATACCTACAAATAAGTTTCGCAGTTAGATGCCAAGGTTTCCTCTCTGAATAACATCCAATTGAAGCTGGTGTACCCCAAGGGAAAGCAAAGTACCAGCTTAAGCTTCGGAACCATCCAAATAAACTTGTGCAGAATTTAACATGGCAGGCTAGCCATACACAACTCCGGCGAAGAGACCTCCCCACCCAGCAATAAGGGTTAGGTCCGTAATTTAAATAATTAATTGTAATTAACTAAATAACTATATTAGATTAAGATTTGACTAATTATCGAAAGTCTCCGAGAGAGAAGATTTGATAAATAAAGAAATCTATCAAAAACAATTAAATATGCTAAAGTGGGGTGTCCCGACTTTGAAATACTCTGTACATATGCTTAAAAAAATTATAGAAAATAAAAATAAGTAAAAAAGCTAAAGTCGGGTGTCCCGACTTTGAAATACTCTGTACATATGTTTACAATAATTATAGAAAATAAAAAAAATTAAGAAAATAAAAAAAAAATTTGATCGATTTTACCTCTCTCGGTATTCGAACTCACGTAAAGGGTTTATAATTGCACATTTACATAGCAATTACGTCTGTGTGAGTGTATGTATGCCTATGCGCATCTATTCGTGTCTGTGTAAGCATTTTCGCAGTCAACCAAACAGCAACATCAACAACAGCCGCGGGCAGGGCTTGAGCAGCGCTGCAGCAGCAAATATATTTATGGCTATAACTTCTTGGTAAATCGGTAAATCATAGTGAAACTTGGCATACGGACACATAATAACTATTTGCAAAATTTTAGTTCGAAATTCCAAGAATTACGGGAGTTACGATTTGCGTGGTAGAGGGGGGAGGGAGGGAAATTCCAAAATATACATTTTCTGCGTATTCACATAAGGCATCTGGGACTAAAATTTGGTGTTCCTAGGTCTTATAGTCTCCGAGATATAGGCGATTATACGAATGGAAAATCGTGAAAACCCCCATAGGGGGGAAGTGGGGGGGAAAATCAAAAAAATAAAACAAACTCGTATAGAATACACACATAAGGCATCTTTGTGGAAAATTTGGTGTCTCTATCTCCTATAGTCTCTGAGATCCAGGTGTTCATACGGACGGACAGACGGAGAGACTGACAGACGGACAGACAGACAGACAGGGCTAGATCGACTCGTCTCGTCATGCTGATCAAGAATATACTTGTATATACTTTGTGGGGTCTGCCACGCCTCATTCTGCCTGTTACATTTTTCAGCTCCCGCAAACCTAATATACTTCTGTACATTTCATGTACAGAGTATAACAAGTAAAAAAGCTAAAGTCGGGTGTCCCGACTTTGAAATACTCTATGTTTACAATAATTATAGAAAAAAAAAAAAAATAAGAAAATTTAAAAAAATTTGATCGATTTTACCTTTCTTGGTATTGGAACTCACGTAAAGGGTATATAATTGCACATTTACATAGCAATTGCGTCTGTGTGAGTGTATGTATGTTTATGCGCGTCTATTTGTGTCTGTGTAAGCATTTTCGCAGTCAACTAAACAGCAACATCAACAACAGCCGCGGGCATCGCTTGGGCAGCGCTGCAGCAGCAAATATATTTGGCTATAACTTCTCGTTAAATCGGTCTATCATAGTGAAACTTGGCATACGGACACTTAATAAGCAACTGGGGGTATTTGCAAAATTTTAGTTCGAAATTCCAAGAATTACGGGAGTTAGAGAGATTTTACGAATGGAAAATCTGGAAAACCCCCATAGGGGGGAAGTGGGGGGGAAAATCAACAAAATAAAACAAACTCGTATAGCGTACATACATAAGGCATCTTTGTGCAAAATTTGGTGTCTCTAGCTCTTATAGTCTCTGAGATCTAGGTGATCATACGGACGGACGGACGGACGGACGGACAGACGGACAGACAGACAGACGGCTAGATCGACTCGTCTCGCCATGCTGATCAAGAATATATATACTTTGTGGGGTCTGCCACGCGTCCTTCTGCCTGTTACATTTCTCAGCTCCCGCAAACCTAATATACTCTTGTACATTTCATGTACAGAGTATAAAAAGCTCATACATACAAGTATGTGTATATACTTTATGGACTTCTGTGTTTGGTACACTTGTATACAAATAAATATGATATCCTTATTCAGGGTATAAAAATAATTTGCTTTACAATATTTGCTTACCTCATTATCTAAGTCTTGAACTAAATTGTTCATTTTGTCATTAATTTCCACTAAAACTGGGTTTTTGGCAGACGAAGATTCACTCAAAAATGCAAATAAATTGTCCAAGTCCACACTTACAATACTATGCGAACTAACTGCTGAACTCGAATTCCTGTGATTTTCTGTAGGCGGTGTATGCGTCAAGGAAGGGGATATTTGCTCAGCCATTTTTGCAAGGACACTAATTTCTTCTTGAACCATTCTGAAATAAAGAAGATATAAGCTTTTAACGGAATTAACACTATATGATAATAGGTAGATCAAATTTCTAACAGCATTTCGTTAAGTTGGCAGCATCCATTTAAATATACATACACTATGGTGCATAACTAAAACCGCACCCCTTTTTCCAATGTTTTGGAAAGAAGGAGTTGAGATACAAAAAAATTGCGAATACCGTTCCAAAGAGCGTCAAGTTAGATAATAAACAACAACACTTTCCTAGCCATATTTATTTTTGTATTAAAATATTTTTTCCTGCATGGTGCATGACTATAGCCGCAATTCACTGAATTAAAGAAATGAAATGAAAAGTAATTAATTTTTATACTCTGTATATAAAATGCGCGAGCTGAAAAATGTAACAGGCAGAAGGAAGCGTGGCAGACCCCAAAAAGTATATATATTCTTGATCAGCATGACAAGACGAGTGGATCTATGTCTATCTGTATGTCTGTCCGTCCGTATGATCACCTGGATCTCAGAGACTATAAAAGCTAGAGACACTCAATTTTGCACAAAGATGCCTTATGTGTGTGCGCTATACGAGCTTGTTTTATTTTTTTGATTTACAAACAGTTACAGTTATAGCCATAAATATATTTGCTGCCCATGCGCTGCCCGCAGCTGTTGTTCTTGTTCTGTTTGGTTGACTGCAAACATGCTCACACAGACACGCATAGATATGCATACACTCACATAGACGCACTTGCTATGTAAATGTGCAATTATACACCCTTTACGTGAGTTCGAATACCGAGAAAGGTAAAATCGATCAACAATTTTTTTTTAATTCTCTTACTTTTTTAATTTCTATAATTATTCTAAACATATGTACAGAGTATTTCAAAGTCAGACTACCTGAATTTAGCTTTTTTACTTGTTTGTCATTATTGTCTCTGATTCTAGCCCAAAGATGTCACACTATGTATGCATAGTTTTGTTAAACATTTTTCAAATTGTTTTGGAACGTTCTGTTTTAATTTAGTTATTACTTCTGTTGATCGTTCTATAGTTTCGGTTACTATGTCGTAGTGATTTAGCTGTTCGAATTTAATTTGTTCAGATTTTAATATTGTGTTTTTATTTGTTGTATTTAGTACTCTAATAAATGTATTTTTGGAATCTGATAATGTGCTTGCTATTACTACTCCTACTATTTCTTGATTCGGAATAAAAAATACTATTTTCATCAGTTTGAACATCAATTTGTCTTACCAACTCAGATCGTGCTGGTAATATAAGTCCGTATTGTAAGTTGGTATGCGTCAGTTTAATATGAACAACGTCATCTTTGTTTTTGGGTCTTACAAGTAAGATTAATGACTGTTCAACCAAGTAAAAATTATGCGGTATTATATATCTGTCTGACCTAATTTCAACAAATGCAAGTCCCAATGAGTTTATTGTTCCATCTCCTGTGCTTGTGCTTCCTCAGCACGTTGTACGCACGGTCGAGTTATCCCCGAAAAGTTCGACGCGGGAAATTTAATTTTGATTTATAAATCGGGACGTCCCGCGAAAATTGAAGCGTTCGGCAACGCTGATATGTACATACATTTAAATTTTTCATGCAGGCGTTATCCGCCTATATACATACATACATACATATATATATAAGTATGTATTACATTTTTTAATTCAACACTAATTTGTGTCTTCAATTCCAAATATGATTGTTGTGAATGTAAAATGTGTGTTTCTGCTTTTGTAAATCTCATGAATACACTCACAAAATATGCTTAACGGTAAATGACTCTTAGATTTGTTCAGAATTCATTTGTAGCGTTGTTAGCTAACACTAAGTCGCTGTAAAATAACAACAACTGCAAGTTATTGGGTCGCGCTTCTTTCGTTCTGATCATTTGCGCCTGTTAATTTCAAAGGCAAAATGCCATAAGGTCACAGTTACCGTTGCTAGGCAACGAAGCAGAAACCGAAAGCGGACCTACGCATATTCTGCTTCGCGTTGCGGACAGATGTACATATGTATGTTTGCATATGATTTGTTCTAATTGATCTCAATAAATTATAAGATGTTATTATTTAAATTTTCTGTTAATTGAATTCAAACTTCGATGGAATTATTGATTGTATCGACGGATTCAACTATCGATAGTTTTGATGCTCTAGCACATAGAGCATCCGACACATGCCCATCTCTAGCATCTTAGCTGATCGCATATTTACAGCGACTTACTTAGTGTTAGCTAACAACGCTACAAATGAATTCTGAACAGTCTAAGAGTCATTTACCGTTAAGCATATTTTGTGAGTGTATTCATGAGATTTACAAAAGCAGAAACACACATTTTACATTCACAACAATCATATTTGGAATTGAAGACACAAATTAGTGTTGAATTAAAAAATGTAATACATACTTATATATATATGTATGTATGTATGTATATAGGCGGATAACGCCTGCATGAAAAATTTAAATGTATGTACATATCAGCGTTGCCGAACGCTTCAATTTTGGCGGGACGTCCCGATTTATAAATCAAAATTAAATTTCCCGCGTCGAACTTTTCGGGGATAACTTGACCGTGCGTACAACGTGCTGAGGAAGCACACAGTTGTCAGGACTGCCAGTCCGCCCGGTGCGTAACGAAGATATGTACATATATATATATATGTATATGTATAACCATACATAGTACTTATTGTACTATATTTGCTATTTGGCAAATGAACTCTTTAAAAAACTTTAGAGAGCGTCGAAAGAAGAATATCATATAGTAAATAAACTTATAATTATAAGCACAGATTACTTAGCCCAGCGAAGACGGGCAAGACCTGCTAGTATAGATGTATATACACAAAAAATTTAATACTACAAGGTGCAATTCAAAAGTTCCAGGACTTTTATTAAAAAACGAAAACTATTTTTTGTTTTTTAAAAATTTATTGGTCGCCTTCAAAATAGTCTCCTTCCGCCTGAATACAACGTTTTGCACGTTCAAGAAGGTGATCGATCGACTTTTTTAGGTCATTTGTCGGTATAGCGTTGAGGATGGAGGTCGCCGCCTGTTGGATGGCATCAACGTCAGCATAGCGGTTTCCTTTCATGGCCAAATGTAGTTTTCCGAAAAGGTAGAAGTCGCACGGTGCCATATCAGGTGAATACGGCGAGTGGTTAATGGTTAAAATGTGATTTTTGGTCAAATAATCGGTCACGGTTCGTAAGCCCAAATGTTCGGTCAAAATGCGATAAATCGATGTTGTGGAGATGTTCAATTCCATTTCCATCAATTTCAATGATGATTTCGGCTGATTTTTGATGAATTCACGCACAGTTTCGATGGAATTTTTGGTGATCACGAATTTTGATTGGCCCACATGTTGATCGTCATTTATGTCCTCACGACCACTTTGAAAACGTTGAAACCACTCGTGCACTCTGCTACGGGATAGGCAATCATCGCCATAAACTTGTTCCATCAATTGAAACGTTTCGGTAAAATGTTTACCAATTTTATAACAAAATTTAATGTTGGTTCTTTGTTCGAAGCTCATTTTCGCACCGATAACACAAACATACTGACACTTAAAACGCAATAACTTCACTTCCAATCGATTAAATGTCATGAAATTCTCACTGGACAATCGATAACGATAGCAAATTCTAACGCACCAGTCGACATATAGATACCGCCACCGGGGGGGGGGGGGGAGGGGGGCTAGATTCAAAAAATTCTGTTTACTTTGGAAAGCACCTTGTATGTAGCGATGTGAGTTGTGAAAAAATGTATATATATTTTTTAATTATTAAAAAAATTTAATATTGTTTAATTGAGTCTACTACTTTCTAATAGAGAATCAGATTTTTGAGTATAAATTAGATTCTTTTAGGTACTTAATAAACAGTTGGATGTTGTCTTTAGTGGGTTTGGTTAGAACGTGACTGGGGTCTGAGGTAGGGAAATTTGTTATCGTATTGTTTTTAATTTGGGGCATTGGGATATTATGTGTGGGATAGTGAGTGGGCTGTCTCGATTGCAGAAGCTGAAATTTGGAGTCGGTGTTTTTTTAAATATATGTTCGTTGGTAAGTTTAGCATGACCTAGGCGGAGTCGGATGATTTTGATAAGGTCGGAATAGAGTCTATTAGTGTAGCTTTACAGTAGTGCATCAATGAAATTTTATTTGTGTTTATTGTTTTATAGGGTGGGTTCGTTAAATTCCATATGTGGGACTTGTAGGCTGCATTGTAATGCTCTTTTATTAATTTTGTAAAGTCCCTGATATTATTGATTGTATTGAGAATGAGGGGGAATTTTATGGTTAGTTTTACGGAGACTCGTTCGTTTCATTGGATATCGCAGTGTTCGGGAACCCAAGCTAGAACTATTTTTGGAGAGTTTGATACAAGTAGCTGGCGGATTGTGGAAGGGTAGAAGGATGTGTTTAATGGGTTTATTTTTTTCTATTGATGATAGTGAATCTGAGCATATGCAGTATTTGTGGTTTGTTGCTATTGCGAATTTAATTCCTTGAAGAATAGCTATTATTTCTGCTATATATATATAGAGCTAAAATATGGAAGTAGATCATTTGCAATCATGGATTTTGTGGTTGTGATGCTAAATGATGTACGAGATTCTGATTTTCATCCGTCGATGAATATAATTTTGTATGATTGGAGTGAGTTTTTTATTTCGAGGAAGTGTTGCTTGTAAACTGTCTTTGGTGTGGTGTTTTTTGGGAGAGAATGTAGCGATGTATTGATTAGGGATGGGGTAAACATCCATGGTGGATGAGGATTCTCGGGGTATTTTTTGCTTTATTGATTTTTTAAGTGGAACGCTGACAGGTGAGTCGAAAGAGTTAATAATAGGTTTGTTTAGTTTTGTTAGCTCGAACTGTGTATGGAATTCTAGCGGGGTACTTCGCAAAGTTCCGAGAGACATTCTTGGGGCGGAATGGTAAATGGTCTTAATTTTGTTGGTTTGCGAATTTGGGGCATTGCCGTATAGG